CCCCCCCCCCCCCCCCCCCCGCCTTTTGGTCCTCAAGGAGGAGCCTGAGGCATCCCAGTGGACAGCAAGGCTCTGCCCTGCCTCACCTCACTGTGCTACTCTGCTCAGCGGTTAGTCTTGCTGTGTCCCATCCACCAGCCTTGCCCTTGAGCTTCCTGTTTCCTCTGCCCAGAATCTTCTTTACCCAGATAATCTCATGGCAGGCCTCTGCTCTTCTCTTCAGAACTTTGCTTGTTTGCCTCCACAGTGAGGCCTCCCCGGTCCTCTTTGCTGATCATAACCAAACTCTTCTCGGCTTTGTTTTGCCCACACTGCTGGTTACTGCCTAACACATTCCAGATGTTGCTTGCTTGCCCTGTTTATCATCTGTCATAGAATGCTCCAGGAAGCTAGAATTCCCTCATATGTTTCTTCTGTGTCCCTAGTACCCAGAGCAGTGCCTGGCATATCTTTCCAAAATCTCTGCTTTGTGTGTGGCTGGCTGGCTTCCAGCTCCTCATCCCTGCCTCTCCTGAGGAGTTTCCCTAGTGTTTGGAAGGCTGTTCAGACTGGTAACATCCCCCAGGTACAGCCTCAGACAGTGGCACCTGGAGTGTAACACTCCGGTTCCCTCACCCTGCAGAAGAGGTGTCGCTGCAGATTTTTACACTGTTTTCCAGAGTTTCTCCGAGAGATTAAGTGCCATACACGCCATCTACCCCTAGAAGCAGCCAGCTTGGTACCCACCAGCTTTCCCTTACCTTTCTCTTCTCCTCATTCTTGTACTGCATTTCTTTCTTTCTTGAAGTCTTTGCCTCAGGGTCAGTTTCTGAACAGAACCACATTAATACCATACTTACTGGTCTATTTGAGAAGTATTATACAAATAATTATACACATCAAACCGATTACTAGAAAAGCTCACCAAAGTGACATCTGTTGCCTCTGAAAGGTAAGATGTCAAGTGTTTTTAAATGAGCTGTCTTTATTTGGTAGTTTTGAAATTAGCAAATGTCAGCTCTAAAAAAAAAAAATAATACAATGAGCCAGCAAGATGGCTTAGAGGTAGAAGGACTTGCCACATGAGCCTGCTGACCTGACTTCCATCCCTGGAGCCCATGTAAAGGTGGAAGGAGAGAACCCCTCTGTAGAGTTATCTTCCTACTACTGCAAACGCAATGCTCTCTGCACCTGCACCCACACATCGTGCATACACACATGTAGACATAATCATTTAAAAATTAAAATGAGTTCTTTCCCACTCCTTGCCCCACCAGAATCACAAGGCAAGCAGGAGCACCAGAGGTCTTCCACAGCAGTGTAAGACGTGTGAAGCTGAGCAAAGCTCTTGGAAAGCCCTCGGGGTAACTACAGATGGGTCACTGCTTCTGTACTAAGACCAACCAGAGGGTGCCCTGAGAAGGAGGGGCACTGAGCAGACCTCCAGCTCCCTGCGTGTGCTTGTTTGAAGAGGTGTGGACATACACATAGTTTATGAAGAGAAATGATGCTACTGTCTGGTCATGGATTTGTTTGAAGAGCCATGATTATCCCCATCTGGTAAGCTACCAGTGCTCCTCATTCCTCTAAGACACTTCTTTGTAATTATTTTCCTCTCTGATGATGTGCCAGAACACTGGCCAAGAAAGCCGAATGGGATAAAGTCCATTCAACTATGAGGGACCCAAGACTTGGCACCAATGACTGAAACCACCAAGCAAACTTCTAATTTTCCATTGGCAGAAACAGCTACACTTCTTATTAACGTGCTTTCTCTTCCTCAAGTGGCTTCTGCAGAGGCTACCCAAAGAAACATCTTATTGTCTCCTTGCTAAGTTTACATGAGGCCTATGGCAAACTCAGACCATGAGGCAGCTCCCTGGAGACACCCACAGCAGGCACTGGAGGAAGAGTGTGGCCATCCTGAGGGGGGACAGTGTCCAGGAATAAAGCCCTTGTAGCTGAGTTCTCAGATACCTGGTGGTCTACTGGCAGAGGGCTTAATGTGAGCCTCTGCTCCCACATAGGTGGATTTTCATGTAATGCTAAATTTTAATTATTTCTATTGAATAATTTATTTCTATTGAAACTTGACAACCTGTCTACTACCTGTTAACCTCTGTTATATTTATTAAGTAAAGACAAACAGTAAATCCCAGAACAGCAACAGGTTCAATAGTCACAATTCCAAGTCAAACCCCAAAATTCTGTTATGTCAAAATGATCATTTTTAATTTGGGATTATAAAGGGGAAAACTGAAGACCATATGAGAACTATTGTTTGTTTGTGTGCATGTGTGTGTGTTGTTGTTGTTGTTTTGCATCTATTTGTGTGTGTGCACACCCAAGCACCCACGTCAGGAGGCAACTTGTGGGAGTTGGCTCCGTCCTTCCACCATGTAGGTCCAAGGAATTGAACTCAGGTCATCAGGCTTGGTGGCAAATGCCTTTACCTGCTGAGCCATCTCACAGACCCAGCTCTTGGCTTTTTATTTTTGTTTGACAGAAAAAGATAGTATTTTATTAAGATCGATTTGGTGAAAGGATCATGTAAGAGTGAAATATCTGGGTTTGAAATAGTGCTGTTTCATGGTTGTAGGTTTGCTGAATGGTCATATGAACAACCATGAGGGAACAGGTTTCTGCTCTTACAGAACCTCCTTTAATGAATAATTTTTTGTTAATTTGTTTCTTTTTAAATTATTTTTATTTTATGTGTATGAGTGTGTTGCCTGCATGTGTGTAAGTGCACCCATGTTGTGCAATGCCCATGGAGGTCAGAAGAGGTCATTGGATTCCCTGGAACTG